AAAAAAAAAAAAAGAAAAAAGATAGGATGCATTGGACATGGGGTTTGGTACTATCTCAGGTTTTAGGCATCTACTGGGGGTCTTGGAATGTGTCCCCTCACTTAAGAAGACTATTTATGTTACTACAGTTGATAGTTTTCTATAAATCCTCATGATTGAGGATTTCTCTCAACCCTTTTAATGCAATTGACAACCCTAAAACCCTAAAAAATGCAACCGGGCATTTTTAAAAAGGCCTACAGTATGGTCTGCAAATTTTTCAGAGACAAAGGGCAATTAATGATTACTTGCTAATCAATCAATGACACTTAATAATTGCTTTCGCTACATAAAAATATTGAGTTAGAGGCATTTTGGGATTCAGAGGTGAGTAACATATAGTCTCTGCCCTCAAAGAGTTCACAGTCTCTAGAGACAAATACATAAATACTGCAATAGAATGCAGACCACCATTGTATCTAAGACGAGAGAGAAAGCATTTTTGAGATTTATAAGAGAAAGAAATACAATCTGGTAAGGGAATCAAGAAAGCTTTATGGAAGAGTTTTTCCTGAGATGAACGTTAAAGACTGGGTGGAGAGTTGCTGGAAGAGGTGGCGAGGGAGGACGTTGCCCAGGCAAATGTGCAAAGCAAAGAGAGCAAGGCCTGTGCAGAGTCCTGGGCTGTGCTGGGACGCAGGAAGGGAAGCAGAGAAGATGGCCGCAGGAGGGGACAGACACGTCACGTGCATAAATATTGAACTCCTGGCCCAGGGACCCCTTCTGACATCAGCAGCAGGTGATAGCAACACAGTGAGACAAGCTGAAAACCTAAGTAAGCTGCAGCTCCCTAGTCAAATCCTCCGGCTCTTGGAATCCACACACAGCACCCCTGGAGGCTCTTACAATTCTATTAGAGATACGGATGCGTGAGAGAATTCCCATAAAGAACTCAGTTTTGTAACTTTGGGCGGGGATTCTCCTATTGCATGGGAATGCAGAAGTAGTTGTATATCTGGGTATGTTTGAGTGGTGTGTGCGTGTGAAATTACTTGAAGATGGCTAGAGAAGATGGCTTTTTTTTTTTTTCTTCTTCAGATAGCTTTATTTCCATTTGGTCTCAGGCTTGTTAGGGTAGTTAGACAGCTTCCTGGTGGCTGGAGGGAGAGGCTTAGGCAGAAGCCCTGTTTTTTTGCAAGGACCCCTTCGGAAGTCGCTGGGCTCAGTAGGCTCCTAGTCATGCTTGAGAGTGAGCCCTTCCAAGAGATATTCACCCAGCCCAGCCTCGCCTCCGGGCTGGCCAGCCTGTGGAGAGGTTGGTCAAGTGGTCACCCAACTTGTTGATGAATTTCACTTCCTCATCTAGGAATTGACTCTCCAGGAAGTCACAGAGATGGGGGTCCGTGTGGGCAGACCCCAGGGCATGAAGATCCAAAAGGGCCTTGTTCAGATTTTTCTCCAGGGCCGTGGCAGCTTCCATGGCATCCAGGGTTTTACCCCATTCATCTCGAGCCAGCTTCTTGATATCCTGGAAGACAGCGTGGCCTCCACGCTATTTTGCATCTTCAGGAGACGCTTGTAGCCCTCGCGCTTCTCCTCGGCCAATTCGCGGAAGAAGTGGCTCACACCTTCCAGAGCCACATCATCGTGGAGGAAATGGAAGCCCAGAGAGAGGCAGGTGGAGGAGGTCTGCAGGTACACATGGACCAGGCGGGTGACGGCTGCCTCCACATCGGTGGAATAATTCTGACGAATCTGGGAGCTCATGGTCGGCAAGAAGGAGCTAACCACAAAAACGGTGTTGGCAGGTCCTAGAAGCAGGAAATGGCCGAGAAAATGGTCCTGGATGTTGCAAGTGGAGAGGAAATCAGAGGGTGATCAGAGGCTGGAAGAAAGAGTCCCTTGGATCTGTTCCATCCAAACACTGTTGAAGCAAGAGACAGTTCGAGGTCCCCAAACTGCCTTTTTTTTTTCTCTTGATCGGCATTTTTTTTTTTTTTTAGGTGAAGCAGAACACAATTGAATGGACTTGAAAATACCAGAATGCACCACATGCATAAATATTGTTTGGTGAAACTTCTGTTTCAGTTAAATATGTGTGTGTCTGTGTGTGTCATGATTAAGTATCTTTCTTACCACGGTCGCCCTAAAGAACCAAAGCTTAGGAGGAGGGACATGACCATGCTGAAAGAGCAGGGGACCAGACACTCTGGGTTGAGATGATGAGTTTAATGGCACAGCTGACACCCACATTTGCACTTTGGCTCCTTCTTTGGGACTAGACTTTGTACTGAGTCAAACACCACGTAGAAGCACATGGTCCCACATGCAACACTCCTGCTTCTTGGCGAGGGGCACAAGATACCTCTGTCTCGATTAAAGCACTCTTTTATTCTTAATTAAAATTCTTAATTTGCTTTGACCTCCAAAGGCTCTAATCCCAGCCTCCCAATTCGTCTCAAGGGATGTTCTCTTCATGTGGGGCTGGTTTAAACAGAGGTCACCTCACCAGAGCAGCCTTTCAGTCCTGCAAGAGTCTCTAATCCGTGATATGTACATGTAGGTTTGTGCAGGCAGGGAACACACATGACAGAGAACTACTTTGGTGGCACTGGACGGGTGGTGTTTCTTCACTGGATTTTGGTGCCAGCAGTTACCTTGAATGTTGAGCAGGATGTTAAGAGTTTTCTAGGAAGTTGCAGTTCTCAGCAGTAGAGTTTTGGATCTTGTAGAAAACTGTTTGAAGGACAATGTTGTGAGGGAACTTGAAAATGTCTTGTGACAAAGCACCTTGACCAGCCCTTTGAAGGAGAATAAAAGCAAGGTCAACTGATAGAGTGGGAAAGAGACAGACACACTACTGAGGAAGGTGTCCCAAGCTCGGGCCTCCCTGGGCTTGGGTTGGGCACCAGCGTCTACAAGGCAGAAAGCTTTGTTAGATGCAGTGAACCCCAAGTTTCTTTTCAAAGAATCAGTATGTCAGGATGTTCAGCTCTCTTATTCTTCAGTTCTCTATTTTAAAGTTTAAACTTCCTTGTAGTTTCAGTAAACAACCTTTTCCACCAGTTCTAATCAGTAGTTCATATCTGTTCCCCCCGTCCCCTGCCCCTTCCTGGCTCATCCCGGTCACCTACTCCATTCGCCTGCTCTGGTCACCTGCTTTGAGCCCTGCTTACCTGCTCTAACCTGCCCATAACCGTCCTTCCTGCCAAACTACCCACCCCACCACTCTGGCTCGTAGTTAAAATAGCTCCCTTTAAAATAGACAATCGGAATTAGACTAGACTGTGTGGTCTAAACCTAGCCAATAGGGGAACGACACAGCAGTAGGGGCAACCTCCGTCAGGCATAAGTACCCCTTCCCCTCCCTGTCAGGTGTGCACTGGCCATTGTTTCATCTGTGAGCCGCATCCTTCTATAGAAGTAAATTGTCTTGCTGAGGAAGTTTATATTCGAGTGCTACATCTTTTGCAGCATCAAAAATTCTACTTCTAACAGCTTTTCAGGTGTGCCCAGGGGGAGCTAAGCCAGTATACCAAGACTGCCTCAATTCATCCCCAGTCTCTCTCCTCCATCTCAGAGGGACTTCTCTTACTTGTCATAGAAAATGAACTTGCCTAGGGCAGAAGAATGAAAGGCAGAGAGGAGACTGTGTGTGTGGGGTCACTGTAGGGGAACTGGGGAGACCCAGTCTAGGGAGGGAGTCTAGGGGTCAGGGCCTGGAGGGAGGAACGTGGTGGGGGGCGGGTGGGAGTGCTGTGGGGGCTTCTTGTCCTGACAAATGGGGACTTGGCCTGGGGCATGCCCACCCAGCCCTGCCCCAGGGCAATTTCTCCACTCACTGCCCTCAGTTTCCCCACCTTGGAGCCAGTGAGTTGGGTTGGGAAATTCTAGAATCCTGTGATTTCCCCTATGTGGGATTTCAGGCAAACAAAAGAGTCTCCTAACTGGGCAGTGAGCAGGGGGACATGGCAGTGGCCTTCCTCAGGGGGACCTGGCTCTGCAGATGAGAAGCAGGGCGGCCTTGCGTGGGGCTTGGGGGACTTGATTCTCAGTGTCTTTCTCTGATTCCCAGACTTCTCTCTGCTTTCTAGTACCAGAACATATAAGGGAAAAGCTTTTCTTTGCTAATACTCATCCCTCAATCCCTTTAAGAAATGCCTGGTATATTTACGGTTACCTCAAAGCTAGGCCAGTTTTCTTTTCTTTAATTAAGGCAGCACTAAGACTGAAGGCATTTGAAATTCCTGTGGGCTGGGAGGGTGTGCAGTAGGTGCTCAAAATTTGGAATATTGGGTGATCAAATCTGGAGGGTTTACTGTAAATGGCACATAAATATTCAACTTAATAGAGTTCAAACTGAGGGCTAAATGTGGTCGGGATTCCAGGTAAAGTAATAACTCCTTTTCAGTTGTATATCACGTGAATTTTCACAGCCAGCTTCAAGAAGTTATCTCGACCCTGCGTTCACCCTCCAAAGACAATAATTCCCACTTAGCAATACAGTGATTAAAAATATAAGAATAAATCATAAAATGTACACCAAATTCAATAATATTTCTTTAAGAAAACAGACCAGAAAAGCTTTAAACAAAATGCTGGATAATCTCTGTAAGGTTTTACCGATTGGTTTGGCGCCAATTCTGTTTTTATTAGACAGAAACCCAGTCGCTGAAAACAGGGCCCCGGGCTGTGACTGGCTGCCCTCCGGCGAACGACTGCGGGGCCGCTCAGCCTCGGACGCCAGGGTTGTCGCCATCGTGGCTTCGCTCCCTGGAACTGCAGCTCCCGCGCGCTGCGGCTGACTGGGAGCGGCCATGCTGGCTGGAGCGGGGATGCCCAGGGCCGCCCACGGAGCCGCGCCGCCCGGCAGGGACTCCCTCCGCCGCGCGCCCACCGAGCCCTGGCAGCTGGGACCCGAGAGGCGGCTGCAGCGCGGCCCGAGGCGCCTCTTCCCAGGGGCGGTGGCAGTCGAGTGGGTAGTTTTCCACTGTGGAGGTCTGGCCGCCTCTTTGGCCCCGGGCCCTGTCGCTCAGCTGAGGCGTCCCGGTGTGTCTGGTACCGCCTTCCGGGCGCCTCCGTGGGCCGCGCCTGCCGCACAGGCCTGAGGTCCGGGCGCCCGGCGCATGCGCAGGACTCGCCTCTGGGAGCGCCGGCCGAGCGCCACCAAGGCGGGCTGGTTTTTGTTTATTTCGTCCAGTCAAGTCCTCACCATGTTGCCCAGGCTGGTCTTGAAATCTTGCCCTCTCCCAGAATGCTGGGATTACACAGGCATGAGCCACCGTACCGGCCGAAACTTACTTTTCCGTCATCTAAGAAATGGAGGCAGCTTCGCTAAAGGTTACCTTAAACATTCTCAAAAACAAGATTGAGGTGAGGCTAGAAGTCAAGTCATGCCCTTGGTATTGCAGCTGCTGCTCTGAGTAAAATTAGTCTTAGAGGCATTTTTACTTAAAAATTAAAAACCCGTGGGAAGGCCGAGAGCGGTGGCTCACGCCCGTAATCCCAGCACCTTGGGAGGCCGAGGTGGGCGGATCACCTGAGGTCAGCCTGGCCAATACGGTGAAACCCCATCCCTACTAAAAATACAAAAAAAAGCCAGGCGTGGTGGCTCACACATGTAGTCCTGGCTACTCCAGAGGCTGCGGTGTGAAAAAAGAACAAAAGAAACCTCACGTTGCCGTGGTCAACTCTTCCCCCCAGAGTGAGTTCCTGTTCATGCATCCTGCCTGCAACCTACCTTGTGTGTGAAAGCCTAAATCTCCCCACAAATGCGAGTGATCTCAGTTACCAAGGGGGAGCATTGAGTTTCTGCACATTTACATCAAATCTAGTGAAACTTTCTGAAAAAAATCACTCCGATGTAGTCAGCCGTCATTTATCCAATCCCTAGAAAGGAGGGTGCTTCATTCATTCATAATTTATCACTTCAGTAGTTAGTTATTCTCTGCTCAGCATGTAGCAAACTCCTAAGATAGAAAAGGAAGCAAGACTTATAATCTGTTGTATGGGAGGATTTTTGCACTGATATGAGAGGCTTCTAAGTTTGTTGAGAAGTTGTTCAGAACTTTGGATTTGTCCCTAGATTTTGTATTAGCTTGGCATAGAAACTCTTTGCCCAGTCTCAACATTTATGCAAAGAACATTTCTTATCTCATAGTGACCTGGGAGAACTTGGAGAACCTAAATGCCCTTTTAAAACATCTCTCTAATTTTATAAATATGTTTTTTATTTATTTAGTACAGGTATTTTAGATAAGTAATTTCTTAATTTGACTTTTCCAAGTTAATACTTTCAGATAGAGATAAGTAAACTTCTTTTTTGAACTGTGGGATATCTAACCCTGCTATCAACTATTCCTGCCATCTAAACCTGGGTCATCAGATGCTTAGGAAAGAACCACGTGCTGGCACTGGTCTGTTTAGGAGGCAGCTGTGAGGTGCCTCGAGGTTGGTGCGGACACAAAGGAGGAAAGGTCTCAAGTCCTAGTGACTGCATGGGAGAGGTGGCTGGCAGGGATTCAGTGGCAGCCTCTGCTCTATCTGCTGTCCCTGGCTCAGGAGCGAGTGGCCACACCACTATTGAGGTGTCCGATTATGGCAGTTACCCACTGGGGCTCCCATGCAGGGACGTGTCATCTCTGGGGTTTCCCAATGTTTATTCATTTCTAGAGCTCGCTCTTAGGCAACACCACACTGCTCTTTCCAAAGTGTTCCAAATTCACACTAGTCCTTTAACAAGTGTCTGTTTTGGATGTTCTCCCTTTTGGCCTTTTCCCCGTCATTTTGAAACTTTCATGTTGGTACCTAAAGAAACACACTCTTTGGAACATAAGCCCTCAAACATATCTCCATTTTTGTATGTTTCTACTTCCTTCTGACCTTATACTTGTTTGCTTTCCCATGGATAAGCAATATTCTATTACTGGAAAATTTTCTTTTGACCAGCTGTAAGTCATTTTTGCTACTTCTCATCGGCAATTCTGTATCTCCCTTTGTTCAGATGATTTTGCTCTTAATAAACGTCTACAACTCTTAGTTCTGTAAAGACCATACCCTGGAGTTGACAGCGGTGCACACCTTCTGGGCTGACATACATACCTCGGCATTTCGCCTCCCAAGTGCTGGGCGTCCTGCTGATGAACCAGCTGGCAGTAAACTGGGTGAGTTGCATTAGAAGGGATTTAGATATTTGAGGCCACTAGTTTCTTCTTTCAACTCTAGATGAGACTCCGAGCCAGCCTGGGCTATGAGTTTGTTTCTAGGGTTCATGGGGTCTGTTTCAACCCTCTGTTGCTTTTGAAGACCTGAAGATCCATTCAGATGTTTAAAGTTTCTAGGTCCCTCCCATTGTTCTCTTCCAGTGGCTTTCTGGAAACTTCCAGGCAAAATGGGCCTTCCATGGAAACCTCTGCTTCCAGAGCAGAGCCCATCCTGGGTATTGTTGGGACCCAGTGGCTTGTCAGATTAGGGATCTGGCAGCAGCTTGCATTATTTATCTCAGCACTCAGGAGTCTTAAAGGTACAAGTTGCCTAAGGATCCACAAAGTTAGTGTGAAGCTAGGTACCCTTGAAGGTGACTGTTTTTCTTGTGCACACTCTATCAATTGTTTTCTGCTGGAATCCCCCTGAAATGACACTCAGC